ACACACACACACACACACACACACACACACACACACAGGAAGAACTGACAACAATCTGCAATCAGCACAGAGTCGCTCAGAGAGACAGAGCGACTTCTCCCCCTGCTTTACCGACTAAAACATTTACAAAACTGTTAAAACATTTGGGGAAAAAATGACACATGATCTGAAAAAGAAAATTAAATAATGATGCTGGAAAAAAGAAAGCTAGAAAGTAAAGGTAGTGGATTGGGGGCGGAGAAGTAATTACGCTGGAAAAGCGAGGAAAGAAAAAAAGGAAAGAGAGAGAGAGGGGGGGGGAGGCACTGAAGTCATGCGGGGAGGAGAAAAACAAGGAGGGGGAGGAGTAAACGTCAAGTGCAGGAGGGAAGAGAGAAAGAAAGAGGGGTCAGGAGCAACATTGGGAAAGAGGAAAGGGAGCAGAAGCATCCAGTTTGGAGTATCTGTACCTGGGACAGACGCGCACTGCTGGCTAATGCCGCTGCTGGATGGACGCCGCTCACCTGCACGCTTCCAGCACTTATGAGACCGACCTGTGCGCGCAGACATGCATTTCTACTATGTGGTAGGTAACGCACATGGACCTCTTTAACTGTGTGTGTGTTTGTTGCAGGCACTCAGCTTTTAAACTCGTCTTTGTATGGTGCAGCTCTAAAGGAGCAAGATGTGCAGTCAGAGATTAAAGAGCATTGTTGAAGGCCTTTTATTTATTTATTTATTTTAATCGATCACTGCTGCTGCTCCTCCTTCTTTATCATCTGTGTTGTTATTGCGCTGTCATTAAACTCGGCTGAACTTGTTCTGACAGCATTCCCAAATATTTCTCCCTTGCAGTAACGCCCAAATCCATCATTCCTGTAAAATTATTTGTGAAATGTTTCTTTCTTGGCCTGAACATTTTGGAAATGCATGAAGTTTCCACCTCTGTCAGTTTCATAGCTATGGTTTAAAAAAGAATAATAATTAAATCAGTTGTTCCTTGGCTGTTCGCCTAAAATAAGCCTTCATTATCTGTTCTACAAGCAGAGAAAAACAGTCTCGGTGGCATGTGTGACAAGGAAAATATGTCATGTATCCTGACTGCAGACAATAAAGGCAAAATATTTTTATGACGTTATTTTAATGTTTAAATGTCTACTTTGACCTCCATGCATGTATCAAGTGGTTGATTATCTTTTTCCTGATACGTCCACCTAATTATCTACTATTAGTTATGCAATCCTGCATGCTTAAGTACAAAGTGCTTTATTTTATTCATCCTGGTCGTTACATTTTTCTTTCACACAGTGCAACACAAACATTTTAGTCACTGCAGGCATCCTGCAGCCTGCTACAACTCTGTGTAATGCAGTGCGACTTGGTTCAGATTAGGATAATTAATGGCACAGCAGCGTGTTTTAGTTTAAGGAAACTTAATAGCAGCAAAGCACAATCAGCATCAATATCCTCATTTGGTCAGCACTGTGGACTTTTTAGTATCTTTCAGGTCATTAATATGTCTTTATGACTCATAACTTTAATATAATGATGATGTAATAGTCTGTGTATGTGTATGCTCCCTGACCAGAAGTAAATAGATACTTGAAAAAGTACGCAAACAGCTTTACAAAGTGAAGTATTTAGCACATAAAGAGCTACATATATTCCCCAGAAGGTAATTTTTCTTCTTCTTCTTCTTCTTTTGGATACTTTGCATCCTTTGTCCAATATGTCCACTATCTTACAAGTCACCCACTCCACCCTGCCTGCTCTCTCCTTCCTCTCTCTTGTGCACTGTCTGTTGCTTTGGGTGGTTGACCCCAGCTATTTAAACTCATCCACCTTCTCTCACTACAGACCATAATGTAATCTGCAAACATCACCATGGAGACTCCGACTCACAGCTTGTATTTTCTAAATAACACATTAAAACTACTTAACAGGTGACGCGAGCAATCATTTCATTAATATGTGACGACTTGCTGGGGTTACCCTCAGGTCTTTGCAGTCATGCGGATGTTACTGTAACATGCACCAATCCCATAACCATTGCGCAGACCGTGCTCAGCCATCCTGAATGGCAATGTCACTCCCCAGTGTTTGCAGCCTTCCCCAGCAAGGCGGCATACACTTTTACCCCTCAAAAACGGCCAGGGAATAACTCAAGGTAATCCAAAAGAGCACAGGGTATTGACCCAGGCTCTGAACCTGGAGCAGGTGGGGGAGAAACATACGTAGTTAAGTAGCAGTGCTTTGCAGTACAGACTCATGCTGAGCTGAAAGAAGACATGGTGCAGGTGACTTTTTTCATTTCTTTTATCCTGCTCCATTTTCCATAACGTATTTCACTTTAACACCAAACTGAGGAGTTGGCATCATATTCAGATTGGGATCACTGGTTGGATCACTGGTTCACAATCAGTAGTTTAAGATGTTTGGGTTTGTTTGTTGTTCTTTTTTTTTTATCAGTGTTGCTTCACATCAATGCCTCTTAGCTCGAAGACTGGAAAAACACTCGTATCTTGTTTTTCTCCCACAAGAAAAAATGTTGATGGTTTCAGCGTTTGGCTAAATACTCCAGATTAGAGTTTTGACTTGCCTTAAATCTAACTGGAGCAATAAGGAGAAAGATAAAAACTGCCAAACCAGAAGCGCAAACCTGCCAAAGTGCCTCTGACTGCAAAAGAGAGTTTGAGCTGCACTGATTTCAGTGGCGATTACGAAACTGCAGATGTGTGAATTGCGAGAGCGTGGGCGAAATGATCGTTGATCATTTCTTTACGACTTGAAAACCTCTGCCATCTGCTTTGGAGCATCACTTGGCTTCAGCGGGCAAAAACCAGGTCCAGCTAAATCTTAAAAGTTAATAGTGCAAATAAATTTCTCCATGCCTGCTTTTCCTGCCTCTCAGACATTACCAGACAGCTGCATCACTTCCCTCTCACACTAGCATATCTGCATCTGTCCATCTGCGATCTCTCGTTCCCCTACTAGCATAGCCTGTCTGCCTGTCGTTACCCCATCTGCCTCTGACTCGCTTCACCGCCGCTCCAGTCACCGATACGTGCACGGCTCAATCATATTTTGTGCTTGTCTTCTTGATTTGTGAATCCCACTCTGGCGTGTTATTAGCTCCACAAAGTGGCCAAATCCCTTTAAAGCGTTGGGGATTTGGCCCCACGTGTCAACTGTAGCTTTGACATCTTTGTCAGAAGCAGGAACTTGTTATCAGGCTGGTGAAGGTTTGCAACTGTTGCTGACTTGGTTAAAAAGCAAAGAGAAAACTTTCATTTATTCTATTTGGAGTTTTACTTTGAGGTTCTAGACTATTTGTGTTTAACACGTTTTGATTGATTATCTTGGACAAAAAAAGGAAAAAAATGGCCTGGAGTATGAAAGATTCTTATTTTTGCTCTTAATGTCTTCATACTTGAATGATAAATCAGGTCTTTTGTGTTTGTTTTTGCAATAAGATGAAAATGTGAATTAGCACCTCTCATGAGTCTGTGGCCTGAGATATTTCTCTTGAACGCCTGAGCGTTACTGTGGCGAGTGACACGCATTCAGAGGTTGAAGCTTATCTGCAGGGAGTGGATAGCTGCTCAGAGCTCACCTTAAATCTGAGTTTAGGGGGGATTTGGCTCACCAGTTTAGGAAGCAGTCTCAGTCCGAGAAGCATTTTATCGAAATATAACGTGGAAAAATTAATCTTGTGGCCTTTCTTTCAGTTATAGAGGAGAAATACTTGTTAAACTGAAATTGGGTTGAAATTTTCAGTCATTCATGGATTGGAAAGTTGACCCTTGGAGCCTTGGTTGAAGTTTATAGGTATTAAAAACACTGCAAACACCTATTTCAGTTGCGAATGTGCCCCAGATGTGCCTCCATATGTTTTCCTGCCTCCCCCATTTTTGTTTAATGGTTTTTGAATTTCAAGAGGAAACACCTCTCTCATTTACCGCAATCAATCAAGTGCATGCGCAGCCACGCCTTTATAATCAAGTTGCACAAGAACCTCAGGCTGCAGATGGCTGTTTCTAGCTTTTCTTGCTGACACCAGCATTCAACCACAACCACACGCAACCATCATCGCTTCTTAGTTCCTACTTGTTCAGAAACGATGGCTATCTCGCCGTGCTTCCTGTCTGACTTTATTATGCAAAATTGACAACTCTCGGTCTGACTTTTGGCCTGCAAGCCGAACGACTCCAGTAAGCTTTTTAAATTTTAAATATTAAGCGCATGTGCTTCAGTCAGACTTACTCTGTTGACATTAAGGCTTTTAGTCTTTTCGATTACGATAACAGCCTTAGTCACATCACCCACGGAGATTTAAAGAAAAACAGAGTTGATAAGAAAAAGTGTTAGAGAAGAGAACAGAAGAATTAATCAGGAAAAAAATCTTATCTATACATAAACAAAACATGCAGATTCAAAGACAGAGTAAGAATTTAAGGATTTCTGGAGTATTTTAAATAATGCAACAGTTTGGGCTCTTTTAAGCCTTTGTTTTTCGTTGTTTCTTTCTCTCTCTCTTTTCCTCTCTCTTCACTATCCTCACTATATCACCAAAACTTACCTCCTATCCTGCTGT